TTTTTATTTCTAGATTAAACCAAAGGTACTAAACCCTATATTTTAGCCTATAGCAAGATCTTTAGGCGCATAGCTAGATTAGTTAATTAGTTATTACACTTAAGAACTTTAGTAAAATCCTTTTATCTAATTTATTAATCTTTAGGTTATCGTAGGTTATTACAGTTATTTTAAAGTTATTTCTAACTCCTTAGATGACCTACTACGTATAATAGTTATAGCTATTATTAGTGCTATCGGATAGCTTAAATCAATGATAATTTTTTCACGATATATATAACTATAGTTTTAGTAACTTCTTATAAAATATTCTTATAATTTATAGCTTTAGTAGTAATTTAATTATTAATAATACTAGCAAAGAGCTATAACTTAATCTTCTAATAGCTTTATATTCTACTAATTAAAAATAAAGCTTATTCTATATATAAATAACCTAAAACGTATATAATATTTAGAGATAGAATAAAAGAGACTAGTTTTAGTAAAGAAGGTATAAATTATAAGCTTAAAGGTAGCTAAGAAGTATTACTAGATTTAGATTAATTATAATACTAATATAAATTAATATCTATAGAATCTATTTACTAATAATTATTAAATATAAGATATTCTTATATTATATAAGAATAAATAATATTATTTATCTTAATAAATATTTTAATATAGTAGTAAAAGTATTCTAATATAATATTCTTATCTCTATATTTTTAATATTACTCTTTAATTATAATATAAGCTATATTTAAGATAAAGAGCTATAAATTTTAAGAAAAAATAAAAATTATATATATACTAGTATTATAAGAAATTTAAATAAAGTCTAATTCTAAAATACTTTTTAATCTAGTATACTAAGTATTAACTATAAGTTTAATATTCTTTATAACTATATAGAGATCTATTTTAGAAGATTTTAGCTAAGATTTTAAGCCTTAATAGAGTCTTTTTAATAATAAAGTTATAAAAGTACTAAAATACTTAAATTCTACTATAAAAGCTTTAGTAAATTACTCTTTAAATAGTATTTAAGTATTATTTAGATAAGAAACTAATATAGAATAAAAAGTAAAGTATTTAATATTAAAATTAAGCTAAGTAGTATTATACTCTTTCTTAGTTAAAAAGTAAATTACTTAATAATTTATTAATAAACTATCTTTAATAAAGAGCTAAAAAACTAATCTTTTACTAGATATCTTATATAGAATCCTTCTCTACTAGTACTTTAAAATAATTAGGACTACCTTTTATATATTCCTTAGTTTTAAAAGCTAGTTTAAACTAGTAATAGATAGCTTTATTAAGATAAAATAAGTAAATAAATTAAGCTACTAATAGAATCTAATTTAACGTATTCTTAAAAGCTTAATAATAGTTAGTAAGTATAATATTTAATAATTTAATACTATTATAGTATATAAAATAATTAAATATTTTAAAGGCTTAAATATAATCTTTTTCTAATTTACTTATTATAAAATAAAACCTTATAGAAAAGTATTTATTTACTAAATTAATACTAGTAAAGTAAAGAAGTAGTATTTTATATTTATTAATACTATAAATAGTATTTAATAATATAATATCTAGATAAGTTTAATAGAGCTTTAACTATAAAAGTATAATAAAAAAGATATATTATAAATAAAGCTCTAAAGATATAAGATATTTATAAATAAGTTCTTTATTAACTTTAAGGTTTTAAATTAATACTTCTATAAGTATTTTACTACCTAAATATTTAATTTAAGTATATATTTACTAATTATAAATATTTTATAAAATTATTATAATAGCCTTATTCTTAATAAGTATAGAATATATTTACTTTAATTCTTAGCTTTATTTTATATAATTATTAATTTTTCTACTACTATTAATATATTTTAATACGTCTTAATAATATTAAGAGTATCCTATAGAATCTTAAAATAAGAAATAGTTATAATAATTAGATTTAACTTTAATATTCTATATCTAGCTATTATTAATATCTATATACTATTTAATAATATATTAAAATAAATATTCTACTTCTTTAATAGTAGGTTCTTATATTCTAAAAAAGATAAAGAAGTAGGTTAAGTATTAATTATATTTAAAATAATAAATATAAAACAAATTAGTATTTTTTTAAATTTTAGATTACTTTTTAACTATAGTATAACTATAAATTTTACTATAATTTTATATTACTTTATAAGCTACTTTATAAAAGAAATAATCTTTATTATCTATATATTATTTATTTACTATTTAATAGAGTTATAGTTAAAGAAAGTATTAGTAAATTTTAATAAAGTAGTAATAAAATTTTACTAAAAATAAGAGATAAAGTTAGGATTTTAGTAATATTAAGATAAGTAAGTATACTTAGTAGTATTAATCTTAATAAGTAGTAGAAAAAATATATTTATTTCCTATTTAGGACTAGTAGCTAATCTAGATTACTATAAAGGTAAAATAGTAATTTTAGAGTAGTAAGATAGTATTTTTAAGGTAGTAAATTAACATTAGCTAATAAGACTAATATTAATTTACTACCCTAAAAATACTATCCTACTACTTTAAAATTACTATTCTGCCTCTATAGTAATCTAGATTAGTTACTAGTCTTAAATAGGAAATAAATATATTTTTTAGAAGTAATAAGTATTAGCGTATAGTTATACTATTAGTACTATTAGTATTATTAGCGCTTAAGTAGTATAAATCTTAAAGTATAACTTTTATTACTATCTACTACTTATAGTAATTACTTTATCTTAAAGCTATTTTAATTAAAATTAATACTATTTAAAGTATAAATAGCTTATTCTTTACTACTATAAGTTTATAAAGTTAATATAATTATTTCTCTACTATTATAGCCTTTATAAGTTAGAGATATTATAATTCCTTTATAAGATTTATATTTTCTATTCTATTTATATTCTTTACGTACTCTATATATAAGTACTATCTTAGCTTAAAGTATTTATAATTCTATTACTAGATTATTATATTCCTTCTATTTATATATAAATAGTATATAAAAGAGAGTTAGAGATTAATCTACTAAAAAAGCCTTATATAAAGAAATAATATTTTATTTTTAATATTTTTAAGGTAGTAAAGAGTTAATAAGATTAATAACTTTATAAGCTTATATAACTATAGTTTTAGTAACTTCTTATAAAATATTCTTATAATCTATAGCTTTAGTAACGATTTAACTATTAATAATATTAGTAAAAAGCTATAACTTAATTTCTTAGTAGCTTTATATTCTATTAGTTAAAGATAAAGCTTATTCTATATATAAATAACTTAAAGTATATATAATATTTAGAGGTAGAATAGAAAGAACTAATTCTAATAAAGAAAGTATAAATTATAAACCTAAAAGTAGCTAAGAAGTATTACTAAATTTAGATTAATTATAATATTAATATAGATTAATATTTATAAAATTTATTTACTAATAGTTATTAAATATAAAATATTTTTATATTATATAAAAGTAAATAATATTATTTATTTTAGTAAATATCTTAGTATAGTAGCAAAAATATTTTAATATAATATTTTTATTTCTATATCTTTAATATTACTTTCTAATTATAATATAAGCTATATTTAAAATAAGAAATTATAAATCTTAAAAAAGAATAAAAATTATATATATACTAATATTATAAGAGATTTAAATAGAGTCTAATTCTAAAATACTTTTTAATTTAGTATATTAAGTATTAACTATAAGTTTAATATTCTTTATAACTATATAGAGGTCTATTTTAGAAGATTTTAGCTAAGATTTTAGGCTTAAATAGAGTCCTTCTAATAGTAAAGTTATAAAAGTACTAAAATACTTAAATTCTATTATAAAAGCTTTAATAAATTACTTTTTAGGGGGAGTAGTATAGTGGTAGTACTTGTAATCTTGCGGCAGGCCCTACCTATTTAAGAATCCGTAAAGCACAGGTTCGATTCCCGTCTCTCCTACTACCCTAAAAAGGTAATCGTTACTCACTTTTAAAGCCACGTTTACTTCTTTTTAGGGAAGGTTATCCTTCCTTTTTTAGTAGGTATAGAGGACGAGCTATAGCTCTTTTTAACACGTCGCGAAAGGTACAAATTTTTGTATTACGTAACCGCTATATATAGCTATAAGATCATCCTTATCAAAGCCTTACTAACTAACAACGGACTAGCGTTAAAATTATATAATTAGAAACTAGCTATAGCTATACGGTACGTAAAGCTATATAAAAATAAGCTACAACATCGCTAAAGTATAGTAAAATTAGTATACTAAAGCTAATTCTTTTACAGCTCTTAGCAATTAGATTAGACGATTGGCCCTAGCTTAGTAAAACTAAAATCCTAGCTACGTAAAGTAAGGATCGGACTAAATAACATAGTAGAAACTTATAGAATTTAGGGACACTACAACTTAGTAAGTATAGTACCTATAAGTTAGCAATACAGCGCTATAGAAAAAGTTAGCAGACTTAGGGAAAGTAACCTAAAATATACTAGTCTAAAGGACCCTAGATCTTAGCTTAAAAGTAAAGCATAGCGTAGATAAATAGCTCCTAGTAAACTATTAACGCTACCTTAGACTTAGTATTACAGTACGAATAAAGAGATCTAATATAATAATAAGGAAGGAATCTTAGCCCCTTAGGGGACAATAATATTGGCAACTTTAAGAACTTAAAGCAGTAGACTAAATAGAAGAATAATAACCTATAATAAATACTAGCCTAGAGAGGTACTACAGTTAGATACTACCCAAAATTTAGCTCTCCCAACCTACTAATACTTTTATAGCTTAGGAAGCTAATAGGGTAGCATAGTATTATTAGCCTTAGCACAGATTAGCCTATAGAATATAATAGTAGGGTTTTCCTTTATATAGTTAGCGCCTTAGTTTACTAAATATATAGAGATTAGCTAAAGCTAGACTAGGCCTTAGGCCTAGAGCGAGTTATACTTAGCTAGATTTAGGTAGATTAGCTAATTAGATAAAGGTTTTTACTCGCTTATTAAGAGTAGCGTCTATATAGCCTATTAGCGTAGCTAAAAGACAATAAACAAGATTTAATAATAATAAATTACTTTTTAAATAGTATTTAAGTATTATTTAGATAAGAAACTAATATAGAATAAGAGGTAAAATATTTAGCGTTAAAATTAAGCTAGGTAACGTTATACTTTTCTTTAATTAAAGAATAAACTACTTAGTAATTTATTAGTAAACTATCTTTAATAAAGAGCTAAAGAACTAACCTTTTATTAAATATTTTATATAGAATCCTTTTCTATTAGTACTTTAAGATAACTAAGACTACCTTTTATATATTCCTTAGTTTTAAAGGCTAGTTTAAATTAGTAATAAATAGCTTTATTAAAGTAAAATAAGTAAATAAGTTAAGATACTAATAGAACCTAATTTAATATATTCTTAAAGGCTTAATAATAGTTAGTAAGTATAATATTTAGTAATTTAATACTACTATAGTATATAGAATAATTAAATACTTTAAAGGCTTAGATATAATCCTCTTTTAATTTACTTATTATAAAATAAAACTTTAAAAAGAAGTATTTATTTACTAAATTAATACTAATAAAGTAAAGAAGTAGTATTTTATATTTATTAATACTATAAGTAATATTTAATAATAAGATATCTAAATAAGTCTAATAAAGCTTTAACTATAAAAGTATAGTAAAGAAAATATATTATAAATAAAGCTCTAAAGATATAAAATATTTATAAATAAGTTCTTTATTAACTTTAAGGTCTTAAATTAATACCTCTATAAGTATTTTATTACTTAAATATTTAATTTAAGTATATATTTACTAATTATAAATATTCTATAAAATTATTATAATAGTCTTATTCTTAATAAGTATAGAATATATCTACTTTAATTTCTAGTTCTATTCTATATAATTATTAATCTTTCTACTATTATTAATATATTTTAATATATCTTAATAATATTAAGGGTATTTTATAGAATCTTAAGATAAAAGATAGTTATAATAATTAGATTTAACTTTAATATTTTATATTTAGCTATTATTAATATTTATACGCTATTTAATAATATATTAAAATAGATAGTTTACTTCTTTAATAGTAAGTTCTTATATTCTAAGAAAGATAGAAAGATAGATTAAGTATTAATTATATTTAAGATAGTAGACGTAAGAAAAATTAGCATCTTTTTAAGTTTTAAATTACTTTTTAATTATAGTATAACTATAAATTTTACTATAATTTTATATTACTTTATAAACTACTTTATAAAAGGAATAATTCTTATTATCTATATATTATTTAATTACTATTTAATAAAGTTATAGTTAAAGGAAGTATTAGTAGATTTTAGTAGAGTAGTAGTAGAATTTTGCTAAAAATAAGAAATAAAGTTAGAATTTTAGCAATATTAAGATAAGTAAGTATACTTAATAGCGCTAATCCTAATAAGTAGCAAAAAAAAAATATTTATTTCCTATTTAGGACTAGTAGCTGATCTAGATTACTATGGAGGCGGGATAGTGATTTTAGGGTGGCGGGATAGTGTTTTTAGGGTGGCGGATTAACATTGGCCCACTCTTAACCTCTACAAAAGCAACGCTCTCGGGGCAAAACTGACACCACGAAAGATACTTTCCAGTTTTAATCTCGATCATATAGATTCGAAGCCTGATTAATAACAATATAAAAAGGTAATTTGAGCTTTTGACGGATATAATATGGCCCTCCGCAAATACCACACACTTCTCTGGGGATCAGTGGCATCGAGCAACCCAACCTATTGTACTGCTCCAGCTGAAAAAAGGTATCATCATTATTCCACCCCAAAATCGGCGCGCATAAATTCATCAGGCTGATATATGGTCCAAAAGGCCTGGTTCATTGGCTTGGCAAGCCCCCGAGCGCGTACCTTGCAGTGTGTTGCGCCTTTGGCTGGCGTACGGGCTACTGTTTGGCTCAATTTGGGCAACTCGTCTGATTCTTTCTCACGACAGCTGCACCCCTATTGAATACCAAGAACTCCGCGGCAAAGGTCATCTTTAAAGGATGGGTTCTTCTAGGATTTTCAGGATGGAGGGTCTTCTTTCATTGAGAGTTCTTTATCCGCAGGGCGTGCTTCGCTGCGATGACATGCCTTCTTCGTGTCGCAGTGTTGCTCTCCTGTGCTCACGCGAGCATTGCGACTCCAACGAGAACGACACCACCAACCAGTGTGACAAACGTGTCTTGGCAAGAAGAATTGATCAAGACTCATTTCAATGCCATCCCCAAGTCGCAGCCTACTGCCTGGGCTGAGCAAATTCCAGTTTCGATATTCGAGCTTCATAAACGTCAAGCTGCGAGCACGAACGTGACGAGCTCTGGTGCAGCTCCAGCGACTACCAATACCGCGAAATTGGGACGGCTTGTTGCCGGAAACACCAAGATATCGACTTTGCCGGCTGCATTATGTGGCTTCATACCGTTCGACAACGGCACAGGAACTGGAATTGGTATAATTCCTTTGCATATTGCTTCGATATTGATCTAATGTTGTGTAGAGTTCGTAGGTTGTAATGGAGATGGATCTGTAGTCACTGCCAATGCGGCTTCCTTCTGGTTTAGCAATGCGGCGACCTGTACATCAACTGGCAACCAATTCTACTGCCATCAGTCCTCAGCAGCTGATGTCGCATCCCGAAATGGCTGTGTGGACATCACGCTCCTGAACAGTTATCAATATAGTACCACCTCTTTCCCATCGCAGACGTACCAAGAAAGCTATTCATACAATACGATCTCATATAGCTGCACATGGAACACAGTATGGTCAAGCTCAGTTTGCTTGATGAGCTATGATATTCATACTATCACCACACCGAAGACAGTTACAGCGTATTCTTATCATACAGATTCCTTGCAGCTCACTTCGCAGCTGATATACTCCTTCAAGACTTCGGTTTACATAACTACGAGTAGTTTCTATACTTCTGGATCGTACAAACTAACCACAAAAACGGAGACGAGTGTAAGCACTGGGTATACGACTGCCCCAGTCAATTCGGAGGCGCAGAAACTTAGCTGGTAAGTATGCACAAGTCTAGTCCTGAACGCCCATGTTCTCATCATTCAATAGCTACGCTAAAAGCTACCAAATATGCCAAACATTTATTCTCAATTCCATGGAAGCATACCAGTGTTATACTTCAACATACAGCCCCTACTCGAGTATAGGAAAAACGTTGACGGTTCTCGACCTTGCTGGCCTGCAGGGAGCTTATCAGGGATCCACAGTCACCGTACATACCACAACTTCGGGCGCCTCTACTCAGTACTCGTTTATTGAAGCATATGCTACTCGTTCGCTTCCCTCGGCTAGTCCAGGCGCGACAGGAAGCCCATCAGCATACTTGTCCCAAATCAAGAAAAGCCCTCCAGGATGTGTAGATGCCATGAATACCACCTGTACAGCACTATACACCGCCGCACAAGCATGTTGGAGCGAAGCATTCCCTCCCGGGCCAGCCGACTGCTACTGCAGCGCCCTTCTCGCCAACAGCTGTTCAGAACTATGTACCTCCAATCGTGGCGACAGGCGAGCCTACTATAACTGGATCATGGGTCTCTGCAGCACTCAGCAATCCACAATCGGACAAGTCTTTGCCAGAAATTGGACTGAAAATACCAAGCGAACAGACGCATACTACGCAGACCTGCTCCCATGGGACTGGACCATCGAGCCAGCCGCAAGTGCCAAACCTACTGCTAAATGTCCCAGCAACGCAAACAAAATCGCCTCCTTTGCCGTTATAAATATAATCGTCGCTCTTTCTTCACTTGTCCTCGGCCGTAGAACCATCGTCAAAAAACTAACATGTGGCTTCTTCGGACACCCAGGTAGTCCGGCTTGGCCCTTTGTAGCTGCGTTTACAGTCGGCACCAACATACTAGCCAACGCCGTCAATGC